TCAATACCCACTTATTCCTTTTCTAGGGTCACGGGGGTCACTGGTGCCCATATCCAGTAATCACAGTGCAAGGGCCAGGGTACACCCTGGACAGGTCGCAAGTCCATCACAGGACCACACATAGAGACAAACGAGACAAACAACCATTCACTCTCTCACACCTAGGGACAATTTAGAGTTATCAATTAACCTAACAGTCATGTTTTTGGTCTGTGGGATAATCGGAATGACGTTCATGTAAACACTTAATCGGATCATCTTATTCTGATTGTAGAAAACGGACCTGTGTGTGCATGTCTGCTGACTTTCATTCACTCGGTTCTGCTCTTTAGAGGAGGTGGGACAGCAGCGCTCCAGCTGCGCAGCACCGTGCAGAACTTTTCCTCCTCACTCTCAACAGATGAAAAAGGAGGCAAACAGCAGACGTTGCTTCACAAAAAATAAAAAACACGTGTTGCTTCATCTGCAGCTCAACGGACACGAGTAACGACGTCTCTACTGTTATTAAAAGCTGACACGGGTCCGTCCTGAGTGCACAGAGGAGCTTTGTTTACGTTTGTAACACGGAAGTAAAGCTGAAAGTTTACAACAATGCTCATGTTCAGACTTTTATTCTGAATAAAAGTCCGGTGCATGTAAACACTTTCATTGATCGGATTGTGTCCGTGTAAACAGTATATTTGGATTATTTAATCCAAATACATTTCAATCCAATCAAAAAATGTTGTGCATGTAAACATAGCTATTGTGACGCACACTATGCCTATGGAGCTCCTTTTGTGCTATAATGGAAGTCAATGGAGCACTTGCTTCCTAATTTTCAGCCTTTAAAGACCTCTAAGCCCTTAATGGGCGGTCCGATTAAAAAAATTTTTTTAATTAAATTTAAAAAAAAAAGCTAAATAGTTTTGGAATCTGTACACAGAGCCTTACGAGAAAAACAGCTCTAAAATAACTGAAATTTTAATCAAAGTCCCTACTTGTAATGGTAGGAGAAATACTGCATTGTTAGAGAAGTATCTTTAACCTTTAAATTCATTTTGTTGCACTGAATCATAAATTTAACATTTAATTGATTGAGTTTATTTTTATACTCAAGTTAAAATAGAAAGGATAGATTTAATCTGAAAGTTTTGCACCAGGTGAATAACTTAAATAGAAACCATCCGTGTGCTTATTTAGCACTCAGTTTGTGTATTTGAAATTACTCAGCTACTACCACACCAAAGCACAGGTTCTGATAKGTTTGTGTACCTGGGGACAGGGACTGGCCCAGGCTGCTGGACACCGTGTATCCCAGGGCGCCCTGCACCCTGCGGGGCAGGAGGACCAGCACCAGCCGGCTGGCCCACCGCAGCCGCTTGCGGGCGGTGAGGCTGGGGCGAGCGGGGCTGGAGGTCGCAGGCCCGGGGAGGACACTCTCCTCAGCCTTCCAAAACCTTAGCATTCCCCAGAACCCGCGGAAGACCCGTACCTGTAAGAGCGAGCCATGTTAGTCCGGTTATTTAACAGTCAAAGCTAACACTTAGCTTCTTTAAAAGTTACGTACCACGACGCTAAAAGGCCAGAAGAGGCCGCGCAGCAGGGAGCGAAGCACCCCGTGTGCCGGCACAACTCTGCCCTGCAGGTGGAGACACAAACTGTGAACAAAGACAGAACTTTATCCGCGGAGAGGACGGAAAACCGTTCTCCGTTACCTCCTCGGAGTTTTCTGTCAGCTCCTGCTCAACAACCTCTCTGCTGCTTTCAGACATCTTCGTACTGCGGCCTAGAACCTCCGCCCGAGCGCTGCGAGCTGTGGAGGTCAGAGAGGCTGAAATCAACCCGCGAGAGGAACACACCTGGATCAATCAGCMCCAGCCAATCAGCAGCGCCGGCCAATTAACTCAGTCTAAGGTGGTTCTGTTTGGACTCCCGGACAAGGATGTATAGTCTAGTAGGAAGGGGGGTGTCCCATGCACCTGAAATATATATATATTTTTAACCTAACTTTTTGTACTCCTTAAGGTGTCTAGTAAATAGATTGTGTTGGCCCCAAAGAAAATTATTGTCCCATAAATGTTTTTATTGATCATCTTTAATGGCCCACCTGGATTTTCCATTGTGAATAATGAAAACTTTAAATCAACATAGCTCCTAAACTATACATCCGACAGACACCATTCACCCCGTTTTATTTTTGTCTTTTCATGGGTAATTTGTTGAAAAAAAAAAGATTCCTATGATTATATCATGTTTGATGCATAATAGCTGGAGAAACTCTGTAGTTCTTCACAGGGGAAGATGTTACAAGCACCTTTAAGGGAACAGGGAAGGTTGGGCTTCTAAAAAAGGCTGCAGAGATATCCCAAGTACCATGCAGTTTACAGATTAATGTTTTAATTCAGATTTATGGAAGCATGTCATGGCAATAAGTACCTACTGGCCCTATGTATTGATGCAACTTGACTTTGCGATACTATAATTATCTCCTCTAAAACTTGGTGAAGAGTGGTCTGTGGAACCAGAAGTGTTCAAGCACATCGAGGCCTTCACATGTCTGATGTATGGCCACGATCAGGAGAAATCTGTGAACAGCAGAAGAAGCATCATTCTCAGAAAGATGATCTGGGTGGATGAGACCATCACAAAACTGAAGGTGGACCTGTCGTGACTGCCTCCCTGCAGGGAGAACCTGGTTCCACATGTTAATCATGTCAACCCCCATCTGGCCATACTRCGATCCTGTCCAGAGCTGGGTGAAGATGGTACCCTGGAGCCAGTGTGGTCATATGGCCCAATCTGCCCTACTACACTGATTGACTTGCTGGAGGAAATAATAGAGGATACAGATGAGGATGACATTGAAGAGCAAGAAATCAATTATGAAGACCTTCTAATTGATGAATAAATAATTTTGGGGTGGTTTTCTTTTCTCTAAGGCCCAATTCCACCTATTTTTTCCTATATTTTTTCCATTCATTTGAGTGACAATGCTTCATAAATCCTCCAGCCATGTCACTACCCATCTCCATTAATTCCTCATGCCAAAATGGAACGAAAACTGGGGTCATTTGCCTCTGCACAATGTCTAGTTAAGTCAATATGTTGATTTTACATTCTCTTTTTTTGCATTTGTGGAAATCCAGGATGACAACCAAAATGGCACAATAAATATACATGTGACAAAATTTCAAGTGTATGTCATCAACTTGTGTTTACCATGCATGTTGAAGATTATAAATATACAAAGCTTTGAAAAAAAATCAATAGGATGTACAGGGGAGTAGTTCCTGCGATTCAGTTTAGGCGAATTTTAGCATTTTTTGGTGTTTACTCCAGCTATTATGCATCAAACGTGATATAATCATAGGAATCTTTTTTTTTCAACAAATTACCCATGAAAAGACAAAAATAAAACGGGGTGAATGGTGTCTGTCGGATGTATAGTTTAGGAGCCATGTTGATTTAAAGTTTTCATTATTCACAATGGAAAATCCAGGTCGGCCATTAAAGATGGTCAATAAAAACATTTATGGGACAACAATTTTCTTTGGGGCCAACACAATCTATTTAATAGACACGTTAAGGAGTACAAAATTTAGGTTAAAAATATATATCTTTCGGGTGCATGGGACACCCCCCTTCCTACTAGACTAGTAAGACCATTAAAAAAACATTGAATTGTGTGAATAGATTATATGTTGCTGGTATGATGTGAAAGACATTCTGTTTTTACTCACAAAAAAACAAGTCAAGCAACAAAACTTAAAAACATTTTTTTTCCTTTTTTGTTTTCTAACTGATCAAATTTAAGCAAAGTAGCCTAACAATAAAGGGGCGGACACAATTCATTATATATTTTAAAAGTCTAATCCAGTCAATTTAGTTCAATTGGTGTTTGTTTGTTGCTAAATAAAAGTGAAACAGTCAAGATAAACAAYAAAAAGTGCACAACTATCGCTCCACTTTTTGTTTAGCTCACATGTCTAAAGGGAGTGAATATTTAATCTCACGTGTTCATTACTTATCAATTTTAACTTATCTAATTCCTTATTAATACCACCATGAATGGTAATAATAGACATTATTCAAATACTGTTTCTTCATACAGGCTCAAATACACCAAAAATACAAAACTTTGTAACAGTGCATGTCAGTAAAAATGTTCATTTCAGCAAACAACCTGCTGATAATGAAATATGTTTTGTGGTAACTCAACGTAAAACACAATTCCATATCTAATTTTATCTGGTCTATTTAAAAACAGGCTCTAAAGTAGTAATGTTAGATGAACGGAATGCTAGTTTTACCTGATAACCACAGTTTAAGTAACTAAAATACTACTACTAGTTCTAGTAATACTAATGCAGCTCTAAATTGTCACCATCAGAAATGTGTTTATTTAGTGCTGCTGTGTATTTGTAGTTCAAGTTGTTGGGTGAGGCAACACCTAAACAAAGTATTTTTCTGAGAAATGTGCACAGTCACAATGCCAAGAGAAGCCCGTCAGACTGTTTCACAAGCAGTGTGGTTCTGCTGAACTTGTTTCCAAACTTTTCCTCAGAACGAGTCTGAGTTCAACGGCTGTTCACCGCAGCACAGCGAGCTACCAAGAAGGAAGTGCATGAAAGTAAGGGCTTGAAGCCAAAAAAGGAAGCGTGAAGTAGCTGTGGAGTAGGGCGGGGCCAGTTTTTAGCAGTTGTCACGAGCTTCATTTGACCTATTTTTYTAGGGCAACTGTTTATTACTGCTTCAATATTTTGAAATGTCAWGCAGGTTTTTATTTTATTGTTGCATTTTTATAGTGTAACTTTTCCTGTTTCAACCCCAATTCCAATGACGTTGGGACATTGTGTGAACACAAATTAAAATAATACAATGATTTGCAAATCCTYTTCAATCTATTCAATTAAATACACTACAAAGACAAGATATTTAATGTTCAAATGGATAAACTTTGTCGTTTTTTGCAAATATTCACTCRTTTTGAAKTTGATGCCTGCAACATGTTCTGCAGCTGGGACAGGGACAACAAAAGACTGGGAAAGTTGTGGAATGCTCAAAAAACAACTGCATGGAGCCTTCCACAGGTGAACAGGTTAGTTGGAAACAGTTAAGTGTCATGATAGGGTATAAAGGGAGCATCCCCGAAGGGCTYAGTTGTTCACAAGCAAGGATGGTGTGAGGTTCACCACTTTGTGAACAACTACGTACATGAGCAAGAAGTGTAGCAGTTTAAGAACAAGGTTTCTCAATGTCCAGTTGTAAGGAATTTAGGGATTTCATCATCTACAGTTCATAATATCATCAAAAGGTTCAGAGAATCTGGACAAATGTCTGCAAGTAAGCAGCAAGGCTGAAACAACATTGAATGTGTGTGACCTTCAATCCCTCAGTCATCACTGCATTTAAAACTGTCATCATTCTGTAACAGATATAACACTCAGGCTCAGGAAYACTTCAGAAAACCATTGTCAGTGATCACAGTTCATCGTTACATCAACRAGTGCAAGTTAAAACTCTACCATGCAAAGCCACATTTTCTCACTCTGCTACTGTCTTTATTCAGCCTCAAGATGTCTGTTGTTGTAATTGTTTCTATCAATAACATACRTTTTCTTTGTCTCTCTTGGAAAATGTGCCTTAACCACACTGTGGTTTCTACACAGCCGGTAGAGGCAGACGGCCATCCTGAGCCCGAGTCTACTAAACTGTTGGACTACTTGTTCTCACAGTTGTTCACAAAGTGGTGAACCTCACCCCATACTTGCTTGTGAATTACCTGCTTCTAATTAACCTGTTCACCTGTTGAATATTCCAAGCAGGTGTTTTATGAGCAGTCCTCAACTTTTCAACTCTTTTGTTGACTCTGTCCCAGCTAGAATGTGTTGCAGGCATTAAATTCAAAATGAGTGAATATTTGCAAAAACAAAGTTTATCTGTTTGAACATTAAATATCTTGTTGTTGTAGTGTATTCAACTGAATRTAGGTTGAAAAGAATTTATAAATCATCAYATTCTGTTTTTATTTTTGTTTTACACAATATATCAGTTTCATTGGAATTGGGGTATTAACAGTTTCAGATCTATCACCATTTTTATTCTCGATATGACCAAAAGAGTTTAACAAATGTCTTAGTTAGTGCTTAACTCATCAAAATAATAGTAGTTTTAGTTAAACAGAAGGAATTCTCCTTCCAGTTTCCAAATCTGGTAGAAGAGATTTTGAAACGCTTCTGCATGGTAACTAATCAAGAAACCATTTTTTATYGGTTATATCCTGAACACAGCCGATCTTCTTACGAACAATTCATTCAGAACATGTATTCATTAAMCGTCGTCTGATTCAACATCAAATAATTGTCATGTTGCCACAGGCCCCGAGAGGCAGGAGATGTTGTTGCTCTGGTTGCTCTTTTGCATATGAAGAGCTTTACGAGAGAAGCTCTTAATTATGCTTCCATATTAGACAGGCTCCCTATTTGTCATCGGTTTCCGGCTTCGGTTTCTGGACTCTCATGCGTTTGGAGGAGCACACCATGTGGGCAATAGGAAAGTATAAAAGCTACAACCAGTCTTAGGTGGATAAACAGTCAAAGACAATTTAAAAGATGGACAGGCAGCCGGTCACCAGAACAGTCAGCTTTGGCRTGATCTGCAGCGGAACCAGAACCTCTGGGGATTGTTCCATGGCTCGCAGGCACAGCAGCGCAGGGATCCGAGCCTTGCTGTGGGCTTCTGGCAGCGCCAAGAYCTTTGGTTGTTCAACAGATTCCCAGACGAGTCGTGAGAGCATCTTTTCAAATATCCTGACTCCTGGCAGAAT